ACCGGTTAGCCGATATCGGCAGTGAACCGCAAGGCTGAAGGCTTTTTACAAGTAGCTGCCCGGTAAGCAGAAGATGCGGGTTCGAATCCCGTCCGTGGTCCGACTTTTGCCCACAACTCAGCATTCTTGTGATAGCTGCCGACAATGTCGTTCTCTAACACGACTTGACGGCAGTCATCCTGCCCCTTCGAGGTCGGTTTCCTTACTAGGTTTTGCTTTGTGAAGTGGAAACACACTTTAGCTCAAAACGGAAAAATATGATGAATTTAGATGGGAGTTTTCTGGGGCCACATGTCCTTCGTCAGGGGAGCCGATTCTCCAACCTTCCCACGGGTGCGCTCGATGATCCAAAAGTCTTTCCTTGTCTTCCCTTCTCCCCTTCACCCACTGTACGGTTTGTGTTACCCAACGGAATCAGACGAAACTGAGTATAGTCGTTTAGTCACTTTTATTTTTGCTTTTGATTGATTTTTTAACGCAGTTCGGCAAGAGGGGCATAGTACAATTTTCCCGATTCAGTAGCACCGCTTTACAAGTCTCACTCTGGTGAAACCTGTCAACCCTTGTGAAGTTAGAGCAAGCTCTCCGAACCACCTCGGTGAAACCTGTGGCACTATTGAACTATTCCTACCCCAGTCTGCCGAAATCAGGCCCGTTTTTTACCGACTTTTTTCTACAAGGGCAGATTTGGCTGAAAATTTGCTTGTAGGGGTACTTCGACCTCCTGAACACGAATATCACATCCGCTTCGCTCGAAACTGCCGCGCCACAGGCGCCGGCGCCAAAACACCCTATGTCACCAAAGTCGTTGACTTGTATACAGGAGTTATTTAGTATCCTGATCATTCACTCTTGGCGCCGGCGCTAACGTAGGACACTATGGTCATCTGCGCTTTGCTAAGACTGAGCCTGGCCTGAAGGGAATCACTCCTTTTCCCAGGTTCAGCCTCAGCAGAACGCTAAATGGCGCTGGTATGGAGAAATAAATGCCATACTCGTGATCAGGGCATCAAACAACCCTATTACGCAAGTTTTTTTTCGATTTTGGGCAAGAAAAGGTGTGGCGCCAAGCAGGCGAAAGAACGGAGTGAAACGGTCAAAATCCTGCGAAGAAAGAGCCTCCGTCAATGTGTTAGAAATCAATTTTGGACGAGTTTCCTGTAGGCATCTTGCCAATAACCGCTACCGAAGGTACGGCTGCATATGTGTACTCATATATCCATGCAGCATCACGGCCGCTTCATACCAATCCCTTCATAATTTGCTTAGCAAATGAATCGATTAGAGCGTCAGGAACGGTCGTCCATTTGTGGGCGGGCGGGCGTGGCGGGCGTTTGGGTCGGTGTTGTGGCTTGATAGGGCCCTTATAAGGGCACCTCCCTTGGAAAAGGCATTATGCAGCGCCTGCTCAGGGTG